GAAAAAACTCAAGACTTGCTATTACTTGACGTTGCACCACTTTCTCTCGGTATTGAAACTGCAGGAGGTGTTATGACGCCACTTATTAAACGAAACACCACAGTTCCCACAAAAAAATCCGAGATATTCTCCACATACTCGGATAACCAACAAGATGTACTTATCCATGTATATGAAGGTGAACGTGCTCGTACAAAGGATAATAACTTGCTTGGTAAATTCAAATTGATCGATATTCCACCTGCACCTCGAGATGTCCCTCAAATCGAAGTTACTTTTGATATTGACGCAAATGGTATTCTTAACGTATGTTTTTATTTATTTATTTATTTATTTATTTTTGACTATAACCTTTTTAATTCTTACTAACATATAATTATTTCCTTTATAGGTCTCTGCTGTTGATAAGACAACTGGACTATCTAACAGGATTACCATTACAAATGACAAAGGACGATTGTCTAAAGAAGAAATCGAACGCATGGGTAAACTTTAAGCGGATCTTTTATAATTTTTTATATTCCCGTAAAGTATAAATTCTAATGATAATTTTTGACTCGGATAGTTGCGGATGCTGAGAAATATCGTTTAGAGGATGAAAAGGTTGCTCAAAGAATTCAAGCACGTAATGGCTTGGAGAGTTATGCATACAACTTGCGAAATACACTTCAAGTATGATTATGAATTCAATATATTTTTTTTTTCAAGTGTAAATATAATAAGAATTAAGCTTAATGTCTATATTTTTCAAGAAACTTGAAGATGCTATTCAAGAAACAATTACATGGCTTGAAAACAATCAAGAAGCTGAAAAGGAAGAATATGATTATAAACAGAAATCATTTGAAGAAATTGCCAACCTAATAATGATGAACCTTTATGGTAGTGGATCTAATATGTAGTGGCTCCCCAGCAGTGTCTGAAATTAATTAGTTGCGGGCTGTAACCAATTAAAAGAAATGAATTGTGGATTATAAAAATTTATAAAATTTAGTTGCGCACATGAACATTTAATCAAAATTTATAGGTAAAATTTGCATGTACACTTCGGATTTGGTTGTGGGAATTTAAAATTTTGTTGCGGTCCGCAGACTCCGCAACCCAATTTCAGACACTGCTCCCAGATAGTCCAATGATTGAAGAGGTTGATTAATTAAATCAATGTAAATAAATTCTAATAATTATGTTTTGACTTGAATACAGGGACCTGTGGAATTTGACACAATTTAGTAAAATATGTGTAAATTATTTGATATAATGCTGATTAATCAATACATATTTAATTATGTTAGCTTATCTTTACATTAAATTATTTAATAAAAATAGACTGCAATTTTTTTTAAAAAAAGTTACACTAAATTTCTTTTTGACTAATTAAGCTTTACAATCGTTCGAAAAATGTTTTTTGTCATGTCCAAACCATTACTACAGTATTATTTTCATAATAACATATTTAAAAAAGAAAAGAAAAAAAAATAAAACAAACTCATTATATTTTCTAAAAAAATACTATTATTTGCTAAACAAAACATAGCTATTTAACATAAGCAAAGCAATCGCAATAACCTACATGCTATAGCAAGATCAAGAAATTTTTTTTATTGCAGTTCTGTGCAGATTTGCAAAAAATTAAATAATAATCAAATGAAAATCTGCGAAAAACTTCAAATTTGATACTATAAATGCAGAAGTTAGATTCAATTCTGTGCAAAATTTCAAATTCTAAAAAATTTTGCAGATTTTTTACAATTCTTCAAAAATCTGCAAAAATACAGATTTTTGCAAATTTACACTTATTTAATTTTCCCGATAGATTACAAAATCTCATGTAAATAGTCTGGGATGTGTCTGGTAATTAATTCTTGCCAATTTGACTTGATTATATGTTGAGGTGTTTTTGCCTGTCATATTTCTCCGAAAATAAGCTCCCTCGAAAGTATGGACCCCTACAATTTATATATACCCAAAAATAAGCACCTCTTATATAATAGAAATTAGTAACTAAATATCAAATTATTCAAATTATTAGTTGAGATTATACCTGAAAATAAGCAACCTTATAGCAAAAACAGGTGTTTTTTTTAGATGAATATAGTAAGTCTTTCACATGCTTCTCATTTAGTCAAATAAAAATAATAATAAAATAATACTAAGTACTATTAAAATACAAAATAGTCAATATTTATATTAATTATTTGCTTAGGTTTTATTAACTATTGGCTAAAATTTTATTATAGCCATAAAACTTCTTTCAATATTAGAGAATGAAATAGATAGCCAAATATAATCCTCTGCTATCATACTTAATTGCAGCAATTATTAGGAAAATTTTTTTATTGCAGTTCTATGCAGATTTGCAAAAAAATTAAATAATAAATCAAATGAAGATCTGCGCAAACCTTCAAATTTGACACTATAAATGCAGAAATTAAATGCAATTTTTTGCAAAACTTCAAATTCTAAAAAATTTTGCAGATTTTTTACAACAATTCTTCAAAAATCTGCAAAACTGCAAATTTTGCAAATTTGTATTTATTTAATTTTTCTGATAATTGATAAGCTACTTTATTCAAAATTTCTTTAAATCATTGAATTGAATTGTGATAAATTAAAATTTACAAATAACCCTGTTTTTGAATTAAATTCATAATTGGATTTGTTAATTCAGAAATAAGGCTATAAGGTTGAATATTACAATTTTCTATTGTAAGGTTAATAAATTGTGAATCAAAAACTTAGATGTTTTAAAAAGTGGTTAGACTAGAAGATTTGTATTATTATATTTAAATTTCTGGTAGGCTTTTTCAAATACATTTTGAAATACTAGTATAAAGGATTCAATCTAAAGATTAATAAATAAAATTTATTATCAAAATTAGTTGAACTTCTACAGTTAAATCTTTCTAAGTATATGCTATTAGGACTGCACTCTTATAATATACATATAGAGAATAATAAGAAAATTGCATTTATAGAAGTAAAGTATATACATAAGCTAGCATTTGAGTATTCATTAAAAAGTGTGTATACTTATAGAGATGCATTTGGAGAGATCTAACTGTATTATTATTTTGAACAGGCCAAGTCAAAAAAGCCAATTTTCAATAAAGAAAAATACAGATTTTGTATTAATTTGAAAAAAAATTCAAGCTTACAACAAGTATTTGTACATGTGAGTAATAAACTACAAGTAAATTTAAATAAGTTCATGTTTTTGAAGATCATACAAATATAATCAAAATATTTATCAATATAAAATGTTATACAAAACTATGAATTTTATTTAGTTTTTAATAGAAGAAGATTTTTTAATACAAGAATTCTATTATTTTAAAGATGCTACATAACAACCAAAATATGAGGTCTTTGCCTTAAAAATTATATTATATAACATAGTAAATCATATGTTCCATAATATAATTTTCAAGGCAAAGACCTTATATATCTTAGAATAAGCTATTGTTTGCTTAATATAGCTATATAATTCTCATATAATTTAATAATTAACAGAAATTTATACTTCTTTGAAATACCAAATAGATTACTATATTAATAATAATAAAATAATACAAATTAAATATTATATATTATACTAACACAAATTTAAAAAGCCCACTTTAACTAATTTTATAGTACCATAATAAGAAAAAACTATATTTACAACACTTTGAATATTTGAAACTGAAGTTTTGTTTATAATAATTGACACATTTTTGCAACTAAAAAACATTTTAAGCTTATCAATTTTTGTTTAAAAAATATTTAGTAAGTAATCTCTATACAAAGTATTTGAGAAAAACTGTGCTACTATCATAAACATTTTTTTTAATTCAAGACAACAACTTGTCTATTTTTTTAAGAGAAATATTGGCTTATCAAATACTTTTACAAGCTCTAAACCTACTTTTTTTCTAGAATTTGAAGCTTGTACCACTATTAAAATAGTTAATTGAGATGTTCTATAAAATAGGTAGGAAACTCAGCAAACTCTGCAACTCTGCTAAATATTTATTAATAATTACTAATTATTAGCAAAGTTTATTTTATATATTGCCCACCTATTCTATAGAACATCTATTAATTGTCATATTTTTGTAGTTACATTTGCTACAGCTTTATTTTTTTTGTAATTTTTGCTATTAATATATTCTGTAATTGTTGACTGAATATTGTAAGCAATACTATAATGGCAAAATCGACATATTAGCCTTTTATTGTCCTTTACAAATTATTACTAAATTCAATTGCTCAACTATGCAATAAAATATATTTTGGTTTTGAGCTCATAATGTTAATAAGTTTTTATTTAAAAAAATAGTTAATTAAAAATAATAATGATTATTGTAATGGTAAATACTAATGCCTATATAATCAGATTATGTGATTAATGCCTAGAGATTAAGTATATGTTGATGCATGAATAGCATAATTAAATTAATTAGGACATGGTAGGACATACAAAACAATGCCAGGAAAATTTAACCACACAGAGCTTGAAGAAAAAAACAGATTTAAAAGTATGATTTATAACGTCCCAAAAACTATATATGACAGTCTACTCCTGTGCCAACTAAAAAAATACAAGGTACAGACAGTCTACACTCTAGAGAATCAGCATAGTAATCATAACAAAAGAGCGTATATATACTTTAAATCTAGAGAAGATTTGATACAAGCCCAAGGTGCAGGCCTGTACTATTTTAATACTAAACTAGAATGGTAAATTTTGGCAGAGGAATATGAGAAAGGAAGTTATAGAAGCAATTAACTCTACAAAGAAAACTCACTTGCAAGATACACTAGCCAAAAAAAAGGAAAATAAAGAGAAGAATTAGAAGAGTTTAGCAGTATAGAAACCAAAAAGAAAAGAGAAGACCTAGGCTTAATAGGCGAAAAATAAAGAAAGCCCAAAGTTAATAAGACCCTTGTACAAAGAACTAGTAGAAACACAGTAAAATCAGCAGAGCACAGTAGTCAACCAGTAAAGAAAGATCACGAAAAAGAAAACTGGCTGCTCAGACACCAAAAAAAACTAAACTCATAGATAATTCAGACCCAAAAGGCAGCAACTCAATTCATAACAAATTCTAGACAGACTCGACAAGCATGAAAATCAAAAGGGGTCTTCGGTGGGAGGCACCTTAGCTTATTGCTCCTAAGGGCACCAAAGGCACATTAAATGATCACTCTGGACTTCAAAATGGTAAAGAAAGAGAGCCACTAGAAGAAGGTCCAGAGAGAAGGCTCCATAAAGTAATAGAAGAAAATGTTGCAACATATAAACAATTCGGGGTATTAAATATTGAGTTTAATAATATTAATGAGATAAAAAACAATAAAAACAAACTAAAGGCAGTAATAGATTTTGCAGAAGAGAAGAAAATAGACATTTTGGGTTTAGGGGAAACCAATATTAGCAACATAGAAGGTATTTTCGCAACAAAAGACACGAAGATATATAAAAATTTTTGGACAAGCTCTGAAGAGGGCAAGAAAAAAGGATCAGGCCTAGGAGTGCTGATCAAAAAACATTGGGAACAACATATTACATATATATCACGAGACAACCCATACTTTTTAAAACTTAGTTTGAACTTTAAGGGCCTGGTAATAATTATAAACTTTTTGTATATTGCTCCAAATGACAAAACAAAACAAGAAGAAATTCCGAATATACTCAGAGATACTTTAGAAAAACCTAACAAAAAGTCACAGTGCTTTATAATCTTGGGAGATTTTAATGTCAGTACACCAAATCTAGCAGATAGCGAAGTAGAAAGTACAAATACTAAGTCCAAGATAAAACAGCAAATTGTAGCACTTCTAAAAGAAAAGAATATGTACGATATGCAAGACCTGGCTCGCACTCCAACCTGGTCAAACAGAAAAGCAGAAACTAGAA